TGAAAATAATAATTATCTATCAAGGGGTCACAAGGGTGGGAGGGGGAGAGGTATGGGGAAAAAGGAGCTGATACCAAGGACTCGAATTTAAAGTAAATGTTTAGAAAATGTTGATGGCAACATATGTACAAATATGCTTATATAATTGATGTATGGAATTTTATAAGAGCTGTAACAGCCTCCAATAAAATTATTTTTAATAGAAAAACTAGAAAACTTACACTAAATGGAAATGTAAAGGTTAATAGTAAAATAAGTTGGACAATACTAAGACCAGAGTAATAGAATTGAAGAAATTTAAAGCCAAATTATTAGCTTGAACACAAATCTGTCACCTCTAGTTTATAAGAGGAATAATCATAAAAAGAGCAAAGAACCCTGAAGAAAGCCTAAGACTTACATAGGACAATATCAAGAGGAGTAACTTGCATTTCACTGGGATCCCAGAAGAGGCGAGAACATTGACTTCACAGAGAAACCAGGACAAGAAACCTTGGGAGCAACCTTCCCTAACCACAGTAAAAGAAGAGAAAATAACTATCCAGAAAGTTGAATGACCCACAAACAGGCCAGGCTCTGAAAGAAAAACAGCACAACATGTCATGGTCCAATGCTCCACTATCAACAAGGAGAGAATGCAGAGAGCAGTTGGGGAAAGCAAACCAGACACTTATAGAGGGAAAGAAATAAGAATAAGCAAACAAGAACATAATGGAATGGCACATGTAAAATCCTGAAATTAAAATAAAAATTGCCAATAAAGAATTTTATGCCAGTAAAATTATCCATCAAATGAGGTTGTAAAAAGGGTGTTTTTTTTCTCAAGACAAAGAGAAATTACATGAATTTGTAAAAATAAGGTGAGCATCGCAAAAGTACTCAGGGGGATACTATGAACATAAAATCACAACAGCAGAAAATCCTGAGATCAACACATAACCAGGTCATGGCTGAATACAATAGGCTAAGTTGACATTATGAACATTTTGGAGGGGGAAAGGTGATTAAAGTGGCTAAAGTAATGAAAGATGTGCACTCTTTAACCATATAACAAAGAGTATGGCAAAGAGCCATCAAAGAGGTTGAAAAGTTACTGTTACTTTGGATAAATCTGAAACAACTGTAAGACAATAGCATGTCTGAGAGAATGACATGTGAGAAGGCTAAAAGCCTCCATACTGAATTAAAAGTCCTGGAAAAATAAATTTATAAGTATAATTTTAGGGCCTCACAACCAATTATTTGGTTTCTATTATTGCTTATGGGAAAAATATGTTCAGTTCTCAAACATCGGTGTTCGAACACAAATTTACAATGAATTGAGTTCAACAATCAAGGTTATCACTGTACAATACACCATGATCAAGTGGGATTCATACCAAACATGCAAGAATGGTTAAACATTAGAAAAATAATCAAGGCAATCTACCATACACACAAAAGATAAATACCACATGATCATATCAACTGATACAGAAAGGGTATTAGTCAATATCAAATGCCCATTCCTGATAAAAACAACGACCAAATGAGAATTAGAAGGGAAATTTCTCAACACAATAATAAATGCTATATATGCAAAACCAACAGCCAGCATCTTGCTCAATGGGGAAAAACTGAAAGCATTCCTCTAGCGAATGGGAACCACAAGGACATCCCTTATCACCACACTTGTTCAGCATTCCCTGGAAGTCTTAGCCAGAGCTCCTGGACAACAGAAAGAAGGCAAGGGAACGTAGACTGGTAAAAAAGTGCAGCTCTCACTTCCTCTGTGGTTTGATATGTAGAAAATCCCCACGACTCAACAAAAAAATGGTCGGAAAAATCTAGAGCTTCTGCAGCATGGCAGGATACAGACAAGAATCAAGCAGATTCCTGAATACTAATAAAGAGAGCTCTGAAAAGGAAGCAAGAAAACAATACCATTTACAATAGCCACATTGAAAAATGATATATTTAGGAATAAACCTAATCAGAAATACAAAACACTTCCACAAAGAAAACTACAGAACACTTATAAGAAAACAAAATGTCTACATAAATGGAATATTCTATGTTTATGAATAAGACTTAACATCGTGAAAGTTTTAGTATTGCCCAAAGCAATCTATAAATACAAAGCAATTCCAATCTAGAAC